ACACACACGCACACACACACACACACACACACAACACACACACCACACACACATATACAATATATATATATATATATATATTATATATATATATATATATATATATATTATAATATATATATACGCATACACAACATATATGAACATATATATGCACACACACACACACACACACACACAAACACACATACACATATATATATATATATATATATATATATATATATATATATAATATATATATATATGTGTGTGTGTGTGTGTGTGTGTGTGTGTGTGTTGTGTGTGTGTGTGTGTGTGCATATATATGTGTAGTTGTGGATGCTGGGAAGAATAACTGGGCCATTTTTTTATAATATTTTTTTTTTCATCATTATTAACAATACTGTCATTCAGATTATCATTACTATCATTTTTGTTGTAATCTTTACCATCGTTATCATTAATAATATCATTATCATTACTGTTACCCTTATTGTTATTATTACTATTATCATTACTACTACTACAATTATGCCTGTTATTACAAGTATTATAATTCTGATAAGCATTTTCATCAGGTCTGATGTAAAGAGATGGCGTAATTTATGCAGAGTTTTCTCGTGGCCACCCACAGACCTTGGATGCCTTACATTCTTAAGTAAAACTATGAGGGATCTTAGAGCAGCAGGAGGCTCTAGAGCAGTGGTTCTTAACCATTTTAGAGTTATGGACCCCTTTCAGAATCATGGTCTTATGGACTCCTTTCTCTGGAAATATATACATTGAGATTTATTTGTCTTATACATATTTGAAATAAGAAGTCATTTCCAAGCAGCATGTGCACATCTTCGTACCAACTGCTCCGCAGCTCCCTGGTGTTAATGAGCCGTTTGGGGAGGTGGGCCTTACTAGTCCCATGTATCCGGATACAATCCCACTGGCAATGAATCATGTAAATGGTGATACTCTGGCTATCACTCTGTCCTATCACCCAGCCCTCTCAAAGGTGAGAAAACCTGGCAGTGGCACAATCAGTATGTATTTTATTTAGGTTTACTCCTACTACTGGTCAGGTTGAAGTGATTGTCACCATCTCCTGAGAGTAGCCATAGCCATTCATGTCGCTTACTGCTGCCTACTCTCCTACTGCTGTTTGCAAACTTGGGGTGAAAGAGGCATTCTACACCAAACTCATATCTGTGGCAGACAACTGAACCGGATGAGACATTTACATTGTACTAAGGGCTTCAAAATAGTATCTGGTTGTGACTGATCAGGCTATAAGATTTATGTCGGTGCCTCTGGGTCGGGAGCTTCTTTTCTCCAAGCCTTTGCTAGATCCACAGACTGAGGATTTCTGGCTCCTGGTATCAGTACTCCAATTCACATTACTGGGCATGGTCTAGTGATACGGGCACTATGGCCAAGGAGATTGACTACATCTCAACTAACCATAGGTTAGTTGAGAGATTAGTCCAATTTGAAACCCCATCTCTCCAGTGTTAACTCCAGGGTGTTTCACTAACACAAAGTGAGGGAGGAGTGTGCCCGGAGATTCGCCACTCCTGAAAAATTCGGTTAAGTAGGCCATCATCACTCAAATTTCGAAGTTAAAATAATAAAATTATTGGCGCTGGTCGATTTTCAGCACTTGAAAGCCTGATGGATCATTGGCAAACTCCCAGAGTCAAGGTAGAATTTCACCTCACTGAAGAATTCTGATGCGCATTGCCTGGCTCAGCTAAATGTTAGTCTTGCTTTTTTAGTAATCGTCTTTCGTCCTGCCTACCAAGCCCCGAAAAAAAGGCTCAAAGTCCTCTTCACAGATGTTTGCAGTCTGCTGAGTGCATGGGCAGATCATATAAAAAAAACTCCCTATTAAACTGCTACAGGTTAGTGGTGACCCTATGGGATGGAGCTGACATGCTCTCCTAGCTGCCAACTGGTAATCTGGTACCATTCCCATGACCATAGTGGTAAGGGATATGAGTTCATCAGACTTCTCAGTATACCAGGTTTCTGCTCATTCTTTATGGATGGATTCATGACAACCTAACTAGGCAAAGGAGCAATCTGAATTTACTTCTGGTACATGAAAAGTAGACTTTTCAACACCTGCATGGACTGGATACTAGGCAGAGCTACTGTTCAAAGTCATTGTGGAGCAACTCTGGGCAATATCAAGGTCACCAACCTTGACTTTGCTGATGTTGCTATTCTATCTGAGTCCTTAGAATCCCTAGTGGTGGCTCTCGATGCATTTAGAAATGAAGCGAAGCCCTTGGGGTTAGAGGTCTCTTGGACCAAGACCAAGATCCAGGACTTTGGGGACTTGCTAGGAGAACCTATTCAGTCGGTACATGGTTGCAGCGAGGACATTAAAGTCACAGAGAGCTTTACAGACCTTGGTAGTGTAGTTCATAACTCTGGAATGTCAGACCAGGAAGTCAATAGACGGATTGGCCCGGCAGCAGGGGTCATGAACTCTCTTGACGAGTATTTGGAGATGCCGGTACCTGTGCAGAAGGACCAAGCTATGTGTCTTCAAACTGATAATGCCAGTTTTGCTATACGGTAGTGAAACCTGGACGTTATCCTGTGCCTTGGAGTCACATCTTGATGCCTTCTGTAACAGGTCCTTGCGTCGGATCATGGGGTACAGTTGCGGGACCCACGTGTCAATCAACGGTTGGACCATGAGACTGGCACAGGACTTGTTACCTGCACAATCCGGGATCGCCAACTCAGACTATAAGGCCACCTGGCTCGTTTCCCCCAGGATGATCCTGCCCACCAGGTTGTCTCTGTACGAGACAACCGTGGGTGGAGGAGGCCTGTGGGACGACCTAGGAGGTCGTGGCTTGGGCAGATCGATCAAACCTGTCGTGAGGAGCTTGAGATGGGCCGAGTTCCTGCCTGGCGGCTTGCCATGAGGGACCCCAAAAGGTGGAAGCGAAGGGTGGATGCGGCTATTCGCCCACGTCGGCGTTAGCCCCCAAATGATGATCATGATGAAGTATACATGAGACCGTAAACAAGCACTTTAAGTCATTGTGGTGTAAGCTCTGTTGTGAGCTTGCAGCCTATATCGACCTCAAAAAAGAGTTTGAATAAGTCCATCACGAGTAACTAAGGGAGATTCTGAGACGAGGGGAATTCTGACATGGATTATTAGACTGATAGCAAGCCTATACTGTCACTGTTAGTGCTGTAAAATGAGGTGGGGACTGTCGAGTTTCTTCCTTGTTAATTTAATTTTGAGGCAAAGCTGTTCTTGCTCCAGCACATTTCAACATTTGTATAGACTGGATTCCGATTTGGATTTAGACACACTATATGCCAAATTCGCTTTATTGTTTAGGAGACAAGGTGGAGTTTTCACAATCGGTTTAACTAATGAGGAGTGACCAAATCCCTGTTGCAACCTAAGTAGGCCGGTCACAGTGTAAACTCACAGGTCATATCTGGAGACCTTCGCGGTGATTGAATGATCTGTAAATCACCAAACAGCATAACCTGAATCTAACTTGGGTTAAAGCTTTTCACAAGGTGGTCACAACAACACTCCTCCTCAAGTGTAGCAGTTATGAAACGAACTTTCTAAATTCTGCAATGCTCCTGTAGGTGCGCTGGCTTTGCTTGATCTGAAGCGTTTACTTAGTTATTTGGCAACAAATAGTTTATCATTTAGTCTACGGATTTCGCCATGTTTCATTGTAATTTATCATGATTATTTATCGCGGGGAACATAATGTAAATTAACATAAGAAAAACAAAGAGGGAGGCAGTGAAGGTCCACCATTCCACATGAAAAGGTATGGGAGGCCATGTATCTGCTTTAAGAGAACCAATGAAGTCAAGTGGACAAAGAACCAAGAGTATCTGCAAAGGAAGTCAAGAGTATATACCCAAAACTTCTCCAAAACGTCTCCACCAGAATAGTACAATGGCGCTTCTGTGACGACCTTGACTTCTAGCATCGTTCCTACGAAGAAAGTCCCTGTTAAAGAAAGAAAGAAAGAAAAAGA